CTCCTCCTCCTCCTCCTCCTCCTCCTCCTCCTCCTCCTCCTTCTCCTCCTCTTCCGTCCCCCTCCTCTTTCGAGGGGGGGAAGCGAGGAGGAGAAGGCTTTCTCAGAAGGCGGCGGGACTTCGCCGAGAAGCCCTCGCGCCTTATGAGAAAAGTGTTATTTCGCATTCGGAGACGGCTTGGAAAATCTTCTCGGAAGGCCGGGGGGGGCTCCGAACCTTCTGAGGAGGCCCTCTCCTTCTCGCTTCCCCCCCTCGCTCGACGTCATGTTTTTTTCATGACGCGACCCCCAGCGGTCCGGACCCACTCCCCGGGACTGGTTTTTCATCCTGGGTCGTTTTTGACGGTCCCGAGGGCTGGTAAGGGCCCCCAGAAGGCGAAAGCAGCGAGAAACCTCCCGTCGTGATGTTTTTGTCACAGCGCGACGGGGTCTTGGCCTGAATCTTGGCCTCCACCCGCAAATGTAGGTCGGGCGTGTCCCCCTACACTGACAGGCGGGTTTTGGACAAAAAAAGAAATAGTCAAAACATGTTCCAAAATTACATGTGTATATATATATATATATATATTAAAAAATGCTCATCAAATCGTCCCCCGACTACCTTTTTTCTATGTTCAGAACTCCTCCTGCAAAGAGACAGGCCCGACTGAACCATTGACTCCCCCCACCCCGCAGCAGCCCCCGCAGGGCTGCGCGTCCTGGCGGCCGCCCGGCACTGCCAGAGGCAGCCCCGCCACCTGCTGCTCCAGGGCCTCCACGCGCCGAGCCAGCGCGCCAGCCTCGGCGGGGTCCGCCGGCGCGGCGGCGGACCTTCCGGGTGAGCAGCGAGGCGCCCAGACCCCCTCCTCCTCCTCTGCTCCTCCTCCTCCTCCTCTGCTCCTCTCTCCTCCTCCTCCTCCTCCTCCTCCTCCTCCTCCTCCTCCTCCTCCTCATCTTCACTCCTCTCTCCTCCTCCCCTCCTCCTCCTCCTCCTCCTCCTCCTCCTCTCCTCCTCCTCCCTCCTCCTCCTCCTGTCTCATCCTTATCCTCCTCCTCCTCCTCCTCCTCCTCCTCCTCCTCCTGCCGCCCCGGAGGGCCGCAGCGCCCCCCTCGGAGGGAAAACGACTCGGTCAGGCAGAACTCGGCCAGGCCCAGGCCCCCTCGAGTCATGAAAAAATTACGATGGAACATGTTTCTTAATTTTCGGCCTCTGGAGGCCCTTACCAGCCCTCGGGACCATCAAAAAACGAGTCAGGATGAAAAACCGGTCCCAGGGAGTGAGTCTGGACCTCTGGGGATCGCGTCATAAAAAATCATGACGTCGGGGGTCTGGGTATTGCGACCACGCCACCAAATGAGACCCACGAGGACCATGGCAACACTACATGTGCGATCTCGGAAACCCGGAACCCAAAAACGCTGTCATCTCTTGGGGGGGCATCGTTTACTTCCGCCGGCCTTCCGCCGGCGTCCGCCCGCGGAGGAAGCCTCGCTTTACTTCCGCCGACCTTCCGCCGCCCCTCCGCCGCCCTCCGAAGCAGAAGAGATGGCAGCTCCTCCGACCTTTGAGGGCGAGGCCTCTGCTGGAACGCCCCGGCCCCAGTGGTCCTGCTCGGAGGCGTGCGCCCGACCCGAACATCTAGCACAACCATCTTGCAGAATGCCGTCTCCCGAGCGGCATGGCCAGAAAACGCCCGCCAGCGAGCATGTACTCTCCGACTGCTCGGCGCACGCGTCGCCCCTTTTGGGGGCGACGCGCACATAGTATGAGCATGTTTGGGCAGCACCGACCTTACAAACATGCATAAACACAAACTGTCGCAGGTCCGCACGGATTTCATGGATCTGCGCGGCACCCTCCCCTCCCTGGCGCCCCCGCGCGGATCCAAAAACTCCGTGCAGGACTCCGACAGTCTCTATGGTTTTGCTGTGTTTTGCCGGGGATCTACCGACCCAGGTCAATCCAGGCCCGGGTCAGTCAGGCCTTGCGGGATCCTGCAAGATCCCGCAAGGCCCTGCAGGATCCTGCAAGGTGCTGACCCCAAACCCGGGTCAGTGCACCCCTGGCCCTGCAGGATCCTGCAAGGCCCCGCGCTCTGGCTGACCCCCGTTTGCATCGACCCCGCCTCTTGTAGGGAACCGAACTCTTTTTTTTTGTCCGACGTTGCTCGGACTTCATGCTCAAGCACGCAGCGTTCTGAAATGGTAGTTTAAAAAGGGCAGACTTAGGCCGATGACAAACAGCAGCTTACGCCTGGCTGGCGCGGCAGGAACCTAAGAGGGGCGGGCAGAAAAAAAAAACATAGAACCCCGAGGGGCGCAGAGCTTGCGCTGACGAGGCGGTGCGAGGGTGCGAGGGGAGAGAAACCGAGCGATCGGACTCTTGTAGGGAACCGAACTCTATACACCGACGCGATGGTCCGGCCTCACACTGAATCTCGCACAGGAAAGCGGATCATGGTGTATGCGGGATCCTGGTGTATACATTCTTCGTTGTTTCCCCAACGAAACGGGGAAAAAAGTATACACCACACCACCCCGACGTCGTCCCCGACCCTCAAAAAAGTCCTGGGATTGGAAGACCGCCCGCCACTGGAAATGTATCTGCTCCAATTTCCGATCTTGGGCTCCGACTCTGTTCCTCGGGCTACTCCCAGAGCGCGCGCTGAACAGGGTTGCGTGCTGACCAGGCCGCCGCGACGCGAGTCCGGCCGTGGCGGCGGCGGCTCTCCCGGGGTAGGCCCAGGCGGACGAAGACAGCGAGGCAGGGGCAGTGGCAGCAGTGCGCCTGCCTCCCTCCTGACTGGCTACCAGACCACCCCAGCCCAACCCGAAGACCGGAGGGCGAAGTGAGGCCTTCGGGCTGAGTTGGGGTGGTTTGGTGGGTGGTGCTCCCCGGGGGACCTCGCCCTCGCCAGCACCTCGACCCTTTCCTCAGAAGGAGAAGACACGGCATGAACGTGAACTTTTGGCGCTCCGCGCGGATTTATTGGATCTGCACTGACACCCCACTCCCTGGCACGCGGAGCGCACCAGGGGCGGCGCTGGAGGCGCCGCCAGGGGGGGCCTGACACGGATCCAAGAAATCCGCGCGGAGCGCCAGCAGTTTCTGTTTGCGGCGTTGCTTCTTCTTCGGTTTCCTCCAGCGCTCGCAGGCGGCCCTGCTGCAGCGACTTCATCTGCTGGCCCATGGGTCGGGTGCTGCCAGAAAGTGCCCCTGGCCCCAGGCGGGCGACGGAAGGGCGTGGACCTTACGCGAGAAGACACAGCGAGCTTTTGCGCGGTGGCTGACGTGGGCCTCCAGCGCGGCACGCTGTCTTGGAAACGAGGGCGCTCACGCGTGACCTTACGCGGGCAGCCTGCGCGCGAATGTCCGCGCAGCCGACCCCGGTTCCTGCGTCGCCCGGGTGCCCCCAGACTTTCCGAGAAGCCCCAGCGACCTTCAGCAAAGCCCTCGCGAGGCCCAGGAGGGACCCCCCGCAGCCCCCGAAGTGGAGCGAGAAAGCCTGGGGGGAGCACCTTGGGCTCGGAGGCGGCCGGGGGGGGGGTCTGAGCTGGATAGGCTTAGGTCGGGCCTGTCCCCCTACAGGGGGGTTGTGGGCAAAAAAATTACAGATATTCGAAAACATATTCCCAAAATGCTCAAAAGTAGTATTTTAAAAAATAGTCCCCAGACTATTTTTAACTATTTTTGGACATCCCTCCTGTAGAGGGACAGGCCCGACTTAAGGGAAAAAAACAGGATGCGGGCAGCAGGCGTGCCCTCGTGCTGTCCTTCGTTCCACCCCTCTGCTGCAGGGCGACCGTCAGAACGAACACGGCCCGCGAGAACGCCAAGACTGAAGGGGCCCTGGGACACACAAATAAATAGACACAAATAACAGGATTCCCAACATTTCCCCATATTTTCTGGGTTTTTGTCTTCCCCCCTCTTCCAATATTTTCCAATATTTTCTGGGGGATCGACGATTAATTGTGTCTGTGTGTTTTTTTCCCTCCTGAATCGTTCGGAGCAGGCGAGCCCAAAATCGAATCGATAAGTCGGATCGGCAATCGATATGAATCGGATCGGAGGAAGTCGGCAGCCGAGTGTGGAAAAGTCGGATCGGCGGAAATCGGCAGGCTGGCAGGCCACCAATCAGGAATCGGAGCCCAAATCGGAGTCCGGAGTCCATCGAAGTCGAGTCGAATCGGGTCGGGGGAATCGGAATGGGCCCTGTGGGGGGTCGGCCCCCGAGGGGGACCTTTCGACCCGGAGGCGGCGACACACCGCCGGCAGATCAGCCAAACATGGGCCCCCGAGGCCGCAGCCGCGCGGGGCGTGCTGACGGCCCCCTGTCAGGTGGGAGTCCCTGAGATCCGACGTTGCAAACAAGATGCAACAACGAAAAAAAAAAAAAATGTTCCCCCCTCCCCCCCCCCCAAAAAAAACACCAACCATAACAGAACCGGGTGCCGGACCGATCCGCGAGGGCCCCGGGGCCCGAGCACGGGGCGACGGAAGCCCGCCGTGCAAGAACACCCGGCAGCGCCAGGGTCTCCGGGGGCCCCCGAGGCGCGCCCCGCTGGGCCTCTCCCCGCCTCGGACGCTGCCCGGGCGGCGGGCTCTTTCTTCACAACCTACTCCTCCTCCTCCTCCTCCTCCTCCTCCTCCTCCTCCTCCTCCTCCTCCCTCTCCTCCTCCTCCTGGCGCCCTCCTTTCTTTGCTCCTACTCCTCCTCTGGTCCTTCTCTCTACCTCTCGTCCTCGCCCTCCTTTCCTCCTCCTTCTCCTCCTCCTCCTCCTCCTCCTCCTGGCGCCCTCCTCTTTCTCTGCCTCCTCCTACTCCTCCTCTTCACTGCCTCCTCCTCCTCCTCCTCGTCCTTCTTCTCTACCTCCTCGTCCTCGCCCTCCTGCTCCTCCTCCTCCTTCTCCTCCTCCTCCTCCTCCTCCTCCTCCTCCTCATCCTCCTCCGCCCTCCGCGGCTCCGACCCGGGCCCAGGGACACCCAGTGGCAACCCCCGCGCTGGAGCCCAGCTCGGCCAACATCACCCGCTGGTCCTGGGGATACCACGACCCAGATCCCCTCGAGCCATGAAAAAATCACGACGGAACCTGTGTCGCTATTTCCGGCCCCTGGAGGCCCGTACCGGGCCTCGGGACCATCAAAAAACGACTCCGGATGAAAAACCAGTCCTGGGGAATGGGTCCGCACCTTTCTGGAGTCGCGTCATGAAAAAAGCATGACGTCGGGGGTCTGGGGAGTGGACCAGAAAACCAACGACACCTCCCCACCCACGGCCCCGCGGGGCTTCGCATACGCCGGGAGATCTGGCGTGGGCTTCTGCGTGGTGTGCGCTACACGGCCCCCGATGGTGGGCCCCAGAGATCCGATGTCGCGATGTTTTCAATACGGGGTACTGGGAAGTCCCGACCCTTTCCCCAGGGCCGGTTTTTCATCCTGCGTCGTTTTTTGACGCTCCCGAGGCCGGGCGAGAGCCTCTGGAGGCCAAAAGTGGCAAAAACCTCCGTCTTCTTTTTGTTTCGCTGCGCTGGATCTCTGGGGCCGCGGCGCAGCACGCAGGGCCGCAGGTGGGGTGGTGTGGCTCGCCCACTGGCCGAAGCGATGCCGCTGCGCTCCCCGGGGCGCGCTCCGACCAGCTCCTCGCGGCGCCTCCGGCCGTGGCGGCGAGGGCCGCCCCATAGGGGCAGGGGCAGAGAGAGGCCCCGGCAGCCTTCGGCGGCCACTCGTGGGAGCCTCCGGTGCCCTGTCGTCGGCTCCTGCGAGACGACGCTCATCGGCGCCGAACCGACGCTCCTCGACGCTGAATCGACGCCGATCGACGCGAACCTGCGCTGGGTCGGCGCTGTTCGCATCGACTCCGGACGCTGAATCGACGCGAGTCGACGCCAAAGACAGAATTGAGAGGGCATCCCAGGCTCCCATGATTTGCCACCTAATGATGGGCCCATCTTGCACCACCACTACCATATGTAGGAGAGGGAGGAGGAGGAGGAGGAGGAGGAGGAGGAGGAGGAGAAGGAGGAGGAGGAGGAGGAAGAGGAGGACCTCCTCATCCTCCCTTCTCCCCCGTCCTGCACATGGTAGCGATGGTGGAAAATCTGCCCATCGCCTAAGCATCCTCTTTGAACGCATGAAGACCGACCCCCGACCCCCACATGAGGAACTTACCAACTAGACCGCGCAAGCGAGGCCCCCCCTGCGGCAGCTGGCACGGGCCTCGCTTACAGGGCACCTACACCTGCGCACACTGCCAAAATCCATTGGCCGGGGTCGTTTTCCCACTGTTTGAGCAGGGACCGACCGTCCCGGCATTCCTATAGGCCTACCACGACATGTTCCTAGAACCCCAAAATGTTCGAAGGACAAAAACAATGTTCTTAGAACATAGACCCTACGTGTTGAAACAAGACGGTGTCAGCCAGAAATGCTCTGAGAACACTTCGTGCAAACCACAGACGGTTCTTAGAACATTCTTTGGTAGCCCTATAGGCGAGCGAGGACGCCTCGCCACTGCTTGAACTGTTCACCCCTCTCACGCCCCCGAGGTCCGCCAGCCCCTGCACGCGCTCCGCGAGCGCCTCCCGCGCCGTCTGCTCCACCCGCAGCGCGGCAGCCAGCTCCGCGAGCACAGGGCCCAGCTGCCCCAGGCTGGGCAGCTCCGCGCCCACCGCCGCGGAGGCCTGTCGGCGGAGCCCAGGCCCTCCGGCAGGGCCCCTGGCAGCGCCTCCTCCTCCTCCTCCTCCTCCTCCTCCTCCTCCTCCTCCTCCTCCTCCATCCTCATCCTCCTCCTCCTCCTCCTCCTCCTCCTCCTCCTCCTCCTCCTCCTCCTCCTCCTCCTCCATCGTCCTCCTCCTCCTTCTCTTCCTCCTCCTCCTCCTCCATCGTCCTCCCCCTCCTCCTTCATCCCTTTTCCTTACAAATAACTTCTCCCTGTCGTTCCCCGAGGCGAGATTTTAGGGCGGGCCAGGCGTTTCGTCTGAGACTTCCTCACCACTGATGACTCTGAAGCTGAAAAATTTGAAATTCAAAGATGGAGGGCGGATCGTTTTCAAAATGTCGCTCTCGCCTCAGCGCGGCGCACATTCGTTTTATAAATTTGTAAGAGCTTCACGGATTGAGGGCGGGACGTTTTCAAAATGTCGCTCTCGCCTTAGCGCAGCGCGCATGCGTGTTATAAATTTGCAAAAGCTTCACGGATTGAAGGCGGGTCGTCTTCAAAATGTGGCTCTCGCCTAAGCGCGGCGCACATTCGTTTTCAAACTTTGCAAGAGCTTCACGGATTGAAGGCGAATGGTTTTCAAAATGTGGCTCTCGCCTTAGCGCGGCGCACATTCGTTTTAAAACTTTGCCAGGGTTTCGCGGATTGAGGGCGGTTCCTTTTTCAAATGTGGATGTCGCGTTAGCGCCGCGCACATTCGTTTACAACATGTTGTTTCACGAATTCCCACGATCAACGTACCAGAGATGGCGTTTTGGAAGGATTAAGGGCTATGCGGGCGCAAAATTTACGTTGGTTCACTGTGTTGAAATCCTAGGAATGGTTTTCTGGCACGATTCCGGATCGTCAGAATGCAACAGACAGGTTGATCCGTGGCGTTGGAATCTCAAAAACACTGTTTTGGCTTGCTTTAGGGTCTTCAAACGGGTGTCTTCCAACGAGGCAGTTCCCTCAATGGAAATGAACCGTTGTAGGGGCCTATGAAGAGGGAGCTTGGAGGAAGGGTTTACTCCAACATCGCCGATGACCCTTGGGTTTACACTGGCCCTCCTCCTCCTCCTCATCCTCCTGCTCCTCCTCCTGCTCCTCCTCCTCCTCCTGCCTCTCTTCCTCCTCCTCCTCCTCCTCCTCCTCCTCCCCCTCCTCTTCCTCCTCCTCCTCCTCCTCCTCCTCCTCCTCCTTCTCCTCCATGGCCGCTTTTGGTGCCGTTTTGGCTTCTCCGCGTTTGGAGGCCTCTCAGCTACTGCGCACGCCCACGCGGGTTGCCCCCGCCGTGCTGCCACGGAGAACCGTCTAGAGGCCTCGCTCCCGGCACTCCCGCACCGACCTTCATAGTATGATCGGGCCCCGTCTTTGTCTCTGCTCCCGTCTCTTGCTCGCTCGCTGCGTTACTGGGTCGGCTTCTGGTGCAGCCCCCCGCCCGCTTTGACAAGCGCCTGACCGTCTCGCACACCTGGGCGCCCGTGGACCGAACAAAAATTTAGGCCTCCCAGATGGCGGGCGAGTAGATGGGGCCGGAGGATCCCGCCGCATCGCCGACTGCCGCCGATGCATCGACGAATCGGTGATGCATCGGCGATGCATCGGCGACGTCGGCGATGCATCGGCGCCATCGGCATGGAGAAACTCTGGCTTCACATCGAGCCGCAAACGAAGCGATACGTTGACCCCACCCATATACTCGGACCCCATTTGGGAGTCCTAGGTCAGCGGGCCCTGGAGACGACAGGGCAATGTTTTGTACAAATGTCGTTTAGCCCATTTTTGCTGCCGTTTCCGGCGCCGTTTCTGCTGACGTTCACAGCGCCGTTGCGATACCGCTTTCACTTTGACCTGGAGACGGCCTGGTCCAGATCACCGTTTTTTCAACGGATCCGAGCCGTTTTCGAACCCGTTCCGAACGTCCTTCAAATCCCTGGACTGCCAAGTCCGTTGCAGTTATCACTGTTTTCTTAATATCGTTTCGATGAACCGCTGTGTTGCCATGCTCACTGTGGCGAGGCAGTTGTGGAAAAGCTGGTTCAAGAAAGCAAGCAAGGCGCAACAACGACAACGACAGCACCAAGCATTATAAGACTGTTCGCTCTTACCAGCTCGCGTGACATTCAACACGGATATCCTAAACCCACGATACAACACCCGCCCTCTTCGTCTTCGATCGCAGTGTGCCGGCAAGTAGCGTCGCACATGAAGCGGCAGCGACGACCACGGCGACACCAACTTACACAAAGTTACGCGAAGTTGCACCTGGTTAAACGTGATTACACGTAGTTTCACGCACGTACGCGTAATTACACGTAGTGACACGATGTTACACCTATTTACACCTAGTAATGCGTAGTTACATCTAGTTATACTTAGTAACACGCAGTTACACAGAGTTACACGTGGTTGCACGTACTTACACCTAGTTAAGGTAATTAAACGTAGTAACGCCGAGTTACACGTAGTTACACCGAAATACACCTATAATCACCTAGTCGTACAAACTGGTCCACGATGTTGCACGTTTACACGTGGCATTTCGCGTACTTGACGCAACCATGCACGCACCGATACGGCAAATCGCCGCTAGAAAATTACATTATATCCACGGGCACGACGCAAAAACAATGACATGTAATACAAGCCTTTTGCACGGAATTCCCCCGTCTCTCTGGCGCGGTCGACGACGACGACGACGACCGCGACGACGACAACGACGCCGACGACCGCGACGACGACGACGACGAGCACGACCACAGCGACGACGACGACCACACCTACGACGACCACGACGACGACGACCACGACGACGACGACGACGATGATTCAAGCGGCGGCGGCAGCGGACCTCTCCTCCTCCGTCTCCCCCACAGCCTGCTCCACGAGCCGCACGTTTACTGGTAGGTCCGTTTTCCTCTACAGTTAATATCCTCCTCCTCCTCCTCCTCCTCCTCCTCCTCCTCCTCCTCCTCTTCCTCCCCCCCCCTGTTTTCCCTCCTCCTCCTCCTTTTCCTCCTCCTCTTCGTCCTCCTCGTTCTCCTCCTCCTACTCTTCCTCATCATCATCATCATCATCATGATCACCATCATCATCACCATCATCATCATCATCATCCTCATCATCATCATCAGCATCATCATCATAATCATCATCATCCCCCCTCTTCCTCCTCTTCCTCCATCCCTTTTCCTCACAAATAATTATTCCCTGTCGCACCCCGACGCGAGATTTTAGGGCGGGCCGGGCGTTTCGCCTGAGACTTCCTCATCACTTATGACTCTGAAGCTCAAACATTGGCAACATGTTTACAGATGTCGGGCGGGTCGTTCTCAAATTGCTGCTCTCGCCTTAGCGCTGCGCACATTCGTTCTAAAAATGTGCAAAGAGCTTATCGGATTGAGGACGACTGGTTTTCAAAATGTGGTTCCCCCTGTGGCGTCGCGCACATTCGTCTGAAACACATGCAATGAAATTCGCAAATGAAGGGCGGGTAAATTTCAAAATGTGGCTCTCGTCTTAGCGCCGCGCACATTCATTTATAACCTTTGCAACAGCTTCACGGATGGATGGCGGCTCCTTATCAAAATGTGGTTCTCCCCGTGCCGCCGCGCCCATTCGTATGCAAACTTCGCAAGAGTGTCACAGGTTCCCATGGTCAACGTACTAGAAACGGCGTTTTGGCAGGATTCTGGATTTCGTGGTGCAACAATTACGTTGGTTCGCAGTGTTGAGATCCCAAGAACGGCGTTCGGGCACGATTCAAAACCGTCAAGACGCAACAGACAGGTTGATCCGTGGCGTTGGAATTCCGAGGACAATGATTTGGCATGCTTTACGGTCGTCAGACGGGCGTCTCCCAACGAGGCAGTTCCCTCAATGGAAATGAACAGTGTATCCGGCTGTGATCTCACGCGACCGGTTGTGATCTGAACCCATCGCCGGCGGCGGCTGGCGGCGGCGGCTGACGATTTCCTTTTCAGGGCCAGCACCGGCGCCTGCGGCGGCGGGCGGCGGCGGGGAGCGTCGACGAGGACGACGGTGGTGGTGGTGGTGGTGGGTTGTGGTGGTGTGGTGGTGGCGGTGGTGGTTGTGGTGGTGGTGTGGTGGTTTGTTGTGGTGGTGGTGGTTGTGGTCGTGGGCGGTGGTGGTGGTTTGGCGGTGGAAGTGGTGGTGGTTTGTGGTGGTGGTGGTGGGTTGCGGTGGTGGTTGTGGTGGTGTGGTGGTGGTGGTTTGTGGTGGTGGTGGTGGGTTGTGGTGGTGGTTTGTGGAGGTGCTGCTGGTGGTGGTGGTGGTTGTGGCGGTGGTGGTAGTGGTGAGGTGGATTGTGGTGGCGGTGGTGGGTTGTGCTGCTGGTAGTGATGGTGGTTGCGGCGGTGGTGGTGCTGGTGGTGTGGAGGGTTGTGGTGGTGGTGGTAGTGATGGTGGGTTTTTGTGGTGGTGGTGATGGTGAGTTGTGGTGGTGGTGGTGGTTGTGGTGGTGTGGTGGTGGAGAAGTAGTGGTTTGTGGTGGTGGTGGTGGTGGTTTGTGGTGGTGGCAGTGGCTTGTGGAAGTGGTGCTGGTGGTGGTGGTGGCGGTGGCGGAGGTGGTGTGGTGGTTTGTGGTGGTGGTGGGTTGTGCTGCTGGTAGTGATGGTGGTTGTGGCAGTGGTGGCGGTGGTGTTGTAGATTGCGGGGGTGGTGGTGGTAGTTGTGGTGGGTGTTTGTGGTGGTGGTGGTGATGGTGAGTTGTGGTGGTGGTTGTGGTGGTGGTGGCTGTGGTGGTGGTGGTTGTGTGGTAGGTTGTGTGGTAGGTTGGTGGTGGTGGTGATGGTGGGTTGAGGCGGTGGTGGTGGTGGTAGTGGTGGCGGTGGTGGTAGTGGTGGTAATCGTCGCTGCGTCCCCGCCGTCGCCAGCGCCAGCGCCAGCGCCAGCGCCGGGGGGGGGAGGGTTTGAAACCCCCCCCGCCGTGGGCTGCCTCGGGTCATCGTCGCTGCGTCC